CTTCACAGAGGTGATGGCAGCTCATACTGTCACCAGCATATGGTACAAATGCCTGCTTTCCTAGGGCCTCATAACATGGTGGGTTAACAAACACTGGGATTTTTGCCCATATGAATAAGTGAAAAATGCCTTCTTTTAATTTGCATTTCTCTTATGAATGAGGTTGAGAGCTGTTTGTATTTGCTTTAGTGTTGCTCATTTCTCTATTGGGCGGTCGGCCTTTTTCATATCAGTTCCCAGGAGCTCTTTATATATTAGGATTAGTCCTTAGCTGTAGGCTTTTTTTCGTAAGTCTATAGAATTTTGAGTTGGTTTCTGGTGTCTTTTGGCCTTAAAGTTTTATTTTAAAATTTTTCGCTGTATTTTGTTTCACATAGAATTTATCAGTCTTCATTTATGACTCCTGGATTTGGGATCCAAGTTAGAAAAGCCTTTCCCCAACCACAGGAATTTTCATGGTTTTCTTTTTTTTACATTTAGATCTTTACTCATTTTGAAATGTATGTTGGCTTCTGGTGTAAGGTATAGAGTCAACTTTACTAATTTTAGAGGTTAACCAGGTTTTCCAACACTATTTTCTGAAGAATCCAATATTTTCTTGCTGATTCAAGATGGCACATTTACCATACTAAATTCTTATGTTTGAATCTATTTCTGTTCTGTTAGCCTGTCTATTCATACATGTACCATAGTGACACTTTTAATTATTATAGTTTTGTTTTAGTATCTGTTGGGATTGAACACCTTTTTTTCCCCCCAGCATCTCCTACCTATTATTTTTCCCCATGTGAACTTAGTTTTTTTTTTTGTGCCCTATTTGTATGTCTTTAGTGGGATAGCATTAAGTTTTACATTTAATTTAGGACAGCTTCGTGTTATTGACTGCTTCTGTTCGAGAACTTGGTCTATCTTTCCATTTGTTTAAGTCTTCTGTGTCCTTAGTATCTAGTATCTTTAAGTTTTCTTTAGACCTTGTACATTTTCTGTTAAGTTCATTTCTGACAATGTGATTTTAAGATTACGACCTTTTAAAGAAACTGAAGTTGACATTTTTCAGGTCAAATGTTCTGTATTCTCAAACGGAAGCTCCCTATTTAGGACAGTGAAGAAGCCCAAAGTCTGCAAGAGGCAGATCTGCCCACCTGACCTGGGCCGCTTTCACATCATGCTTCTTGCTGGAAATTCCTGTGCGATCAACAGTCCCCAATTACATCTGTCTGCAACTGAAGAAACACAGCTCCCCTTTTCTCAGCGCCCCCAACATACTCCCTTCTAACCAGAAGACCCAATTCTAACTCCTCCAGCTAGATGCCATAGGGATAGGTATGCAAACGCCCATCGAACTGCCAACGCCATTGTGCTTCTATCACCTTTACTACTGAACTTGAGACTAGCTTTTGGTGGCTACATCTGCTAGGTTTGGGCTTTAGTTCTTTCTGGTTTTCAGATTCTAAGCCCATTACCTCCGCCTGTACAGATGTCCATCCAAATATTGTCTGTGACTTGGCCTAGCCCCTTAGAGATGAGTATGAACTGTCTGAAAGCAGCAAGCAGACTAGAGTTCGACTTGAAGCTCTACATCATAAGCTGGGTCTGGGGTGAGTCCTCTCATCCGAGTCTAGTCTGATGACTGCCCACCCACCTCCCTGGGCCATTGAGAGCAGCAGCCGAGTTCTCTGATGGGACAGCATCTAGCATGAACGAATGCCACCGAAGCCTCCTAGGACTTTCTCACACCTTCTTGCTGTTCTTGAATCTTCCAGTCAGGATGTTCAAGTTACCTCTAATGCTTTTTTTTTTTTTTCATGGCTAAGGAACTCTCCTGCTTCTGAAATCAATGTCAGTGAAGAGGGACAACTGAACAACCCATCAAACTGGATGCCACTCACGGGCGGTTTAGTGTCCTCGGGACAGTACAGATGTGGCTCACCCAGCTCCTTACAGTTCCTGGGCCCTGACAGAGGCTCCTGTGAGGAGTGCTCTCGAGAGGTCAAGTCCCAAAGCAGAACCAGACCACGGGAGCCCACGTCCTCTTTGCTTGCCGACAGTCTCGAAGTCACTCAAGTGAAGCCAAAAGGGTTTCTTTGTGGGTCCAGGCTTGTCAGGAACACAAGCCTGTCAATTCTCTAACATACCCCACTGGATGTGCTACCTGTGTCCTTGAAAACACCTCAGTGGTACCATACCTAGAGCCCTTTGCACGTGTAACAGCTCTTGTGTTCTGTGATCCTGTTGACAGGCCACCTCCCTCAACGTGTGAATTCCTGGAAATCTCTTTAATCTCCTTAGAGCCCAGTATCTAGCACAAGTCTTGCCAGAAGGAACACACTGCTATGGCAGTCTCCTGACTTCAGGCTCTGTGGACGTGCCGAGCCTAGCTGGAAGACTTACTTAGAATTATTAAATGTACAAAAACCCACAAACGTTTGAACAAGACAAAATATTTTATTTCCCTCAGAAGTCACTTGCGCCCAAAGAATCAAAGAGGAGAAACAAGTATGAACTAAACTATGCTTTGAACTATGAAGGATGCAAATGTTTTTATCAACCAATAACACTACATAATAGCTAGGTTTCACTAAAGTATTGGAAAATAGGCCCAGAGTGTCAAAAACCGTTAGCTCTTTGTACACTACACCAAGAGAGGCACGGTCCACGGTTCACTGCTGTCTTTAGTTTGGAATGTCTTTGCAGTGGGTTATCACGAAGAGGAGTTGATGGTTACCTTGCAACAGAAGAGCAGCAGACACGGCGAAAACACGAGACAAACGATATAAAACCTTTTCTTTTCATCTTTTTTTATTTTAAATTACAAAGGATGTTGCATACACTGATGAATCTGTATCTGACTAGAAGTGCCGAGGGATTGGAAGGTGACAGAAAACAAAGGCAACGTTTGAATTGCCTCTTCTTCTGAAAAGAAAAACCGCACAACTATTAACCGACATTTAATAGAATAATTTTTAAACAGCTCATGCGTCAACAAGATAAAATTCTTTCTAGACAAAAGACAAGACTGAATCCAATAAAAAGTTTCATAGCTCCAGTTGAGGGAGGCGAGGAAACAAAACTACAGAATATTTATGATAGCATT